TAGATAGATAGATAGATAGATAGATAGATAGATAGATAGATAGATAGATAGATAGATAGATAGATATGGATTCTGATATATTCATTCTATATATCAGAATCGATATATATATATATTGGCACCTTCGAGTCAGTCTTGACTCCTGGTGACTGCCTGGACAGGTCCCTGCAGTTTTCTTGGCAAGATTTTGGAAGTGGTTTGCCAGAGAGTATGACTGGCCCAAGATCACCCAGCTGGCTTCGTGCCTAAGGAGGGACTAGAACTCACAGCTTCCTGGTTTCTAACTTGGTGCCTTCACCCCTACACCAAACTGGCTCTCTCCGTTTTTATATAGCTTACTTTTTTTTAAACCAGCAACAACCAGAAACTTCTAACACGGCTGAATTCCACAGGAAAGATTTTGGAGATTAACTAGATTTGGGGGTGCAGCCTCACTTAGCCTTTTGTGTGCTGAGGGCCATGTTCCAAAAAATAGGCGGGGGCGGGGGAAAAAAGCTGGTACTGGTTGGATTTGAATACGTAGCTACTGTGAGTGCTCTCCATGCATTTGACAGCTTTTCCTTCTTTTGCAGAATTGCAGAATTCAGCAGGGATTTGGGTGGGCTCTTGTGAATCACTGGGAACCTCAGATTATGTCCCTTTGGTGTGGTCCTCTTGTCCCTCCCCACCAATTTAGTGAAGGAGCTGCAACACAATGTGCAGCTGTAGCTTTCCAACCTCCACTTAAATGTTCTAGCCCACTTCTCCTCCTAGCAGCTGATCTAATTGGTGAGAGGGAAGTATTTTCTAGCATATAGCAGAAATGGGTGTCCCTGCAGTTTTTATGTTGCTCAGATGTTGCCCCCCAGGAGCATCAGGAGAAGAGAAGGCATAGTGGGGGGCTCTTAATTAAGACAACCTTCTCTAACTTGGTGTCTTCCCTGGAGCATGTGTTGGGACTACCCTGCCCTTCTTCTGGCCAGTATGGCTGTCAGCCTAAAATTCTGGAGACTGTAATTCCAACACATCTGGAGTGCTTGCTTTTGTTAAGAGATAACAACTCTGGGATTGAGAGATCTTTTGGGATGGGAACATAGCCCAGGAATCCCTAATCCATCATGTGAAAAGAAGAAGTATTAGAAGTTGGCCAATGGGATCCATTCTCCCTTTAGAACAGAATTAGATTAGTTGGAGAATGAAGAGATCTGTTGAACCTTTGGAAAAAGAGTTTAGGACCAAAATTGTGGACAGCATCTCTGCCTTGAGAGAAGATGCTCATTCGGTTGACTGTTCTGTGCTTTTCGTTTTCCCAGGGAATCCTGCGAGGGAGATCCCAAACAGTGATGTTGAGGCTTTGGGAACAGATGCAGCCACCGAGTCTTGTGGCCAGGACTTCAGAGGGAAGAGTACCAAAGACAAAGCATATGGATTGGCAGCCTGTCTTGGCACTGTGTGCTTGCATTGCAAGACTCACCAACCAGTAGATACAGGAACCCTTCTCAGATGTTCCTCACCTTCCCTCCAACACGATTGTATGCTAAATGGGATGAAGGTGCTTCCTAAGGAAGACACAGCCTTGGAAACCAAGGGACTCGCTCTTTGCTCTGGTGCTAAGAGGCCATCCCATAAACGGCCAAGGACTCTTGAGCTGAAACTGACTGCTAAGGTTGCTAGGAGGACAACCAGAGCCTCAAAGATCCTTCACCTGCGGAAGTCCGTGGTTCACATCCAATTCCAGAATGCTCTTCAGGATATTCAGGGACCTCAGGTTCTTGGTCCTTCAAGGAAGAGAAAGAAAGTGCCACCAGCACTCCTCCTGAAGAGTTTCAAGCGGCGGAGATGCAGTAGTGCCAGGGTGTCTGCCTTGCCCTCTGAGTATCCAGAACTTGTTGGGAAGAGAATCAGGCACTTGTATGAGGAGAAGGACAAGACAGAAGCCTGGTATCAGGGTGTGGTGCTTCGCGTCCACAAACGCCACAAAAACCCTTTGAAGACAGTTTATGAGGTGAAGTACGACAGTGAGCCAGAGTGGCAATATTACCTCGAGATTCTGCAGGATTATAAGAAAGGTTGGGTGGAGCTGGCTGAATGAGTAGATGGGTGTTTACGTGTGTGTGAAAGAAAAGAGGGGCAATTTGATTTATCCTGCTGTTGGATCGGAACACAGTTGAAAGGATAATCATGTTTCAAGGTTAAGACTGTTTTCCCACATGACACACTATGGAGAAAGGTGACCTTGGCCTGATTCAGATAGTCCTCTTATGGTGCTCAACACCTCAGGGCTCCATGTCACTTCCAGAAACTCACCACACATGAGTAGCTTTCAGGTCACTGCTTTGTCAAAAAACAATTTGAACTGGAGCTGGGTCTACAAAACGGCCTCATATTGTCCCAACTGACACCAGAGATGAAATATGAATCTCACTGTACATTTTACAAATCTTCTACATAGGTGGAGCTTTGAGGACGTCCCGGGAAATTTCCCTGGTGGGCCCATCCTCTGTGCTCAGTTCTGGCTTGTTCCAGCAGCTATGAGTAACGGGTTTGTTGAGTTCCCAGAATATCTTAGAACGAAGCTTGTCCAGGGGCATTGTGGAAAACCCAGAGGATGGCTACTGATAGTTGCTTGTCCTTCTTGGAGCATGGAGAGGAACCCTGGGATGTTGGCTGATGGTCACCCTGATGAGTTCCAGCCCTTCATTTTTGACCAAACCAACCCCACTGGAGTAGCCATGTCTGTAGAAAAGCAGTGGTGCACACACTATGGAAGTAGTATCTGTAGTTCCCAGACCACACTGCTCGTGTGTTGCTTTTACAGAGCTGTGTTGGTACAACTCCTTCAGGAAGAGGGTACTTGGGGGACATCAGAACTGCTTGTCCTCTGGTTGAAAGTAATCTTTCCTCTTCTCCCTCCTGCTTCATCTGATACTTGTAAGTCTCTGCAATTGTTAGGTTCTTGAGTTGGCCCTACTAGAAAGAAGGCAACCTTCGGGGGAGCCGCAAAGATCTTTCCAAGGCTGCTTTTAATTGAATCTTCCCCAGGTGTAGGGGCTTCCAGATCCTCGGATGTTCTCCAATTCCACTTGATAGATCTGAGCCACATCATAGCGCATGGATCGTGCTTTATGCACCCCCCCCATGGAACAATTTCCTAAACTCCTGCTCCACCATCACCGCTGATGGGGATGAGTGCTTTTGAGGCAGACGTCCCAGGTAAATTGTGGGAAGGTGTGAGGAAGGGGCTCCTTCTAAAGCTTAAATTGAAAGCAAAGCCATTCCAGATGTCTTCCGATGGCCAGACCACTTAGCAGGGTGGGGGTGTAGCTCTCAGCGACTTGACTTTGAGGGGGAAATGCCCGAAAAAGACCACACTCAGGGAGACCGTTTTGCAAGGTGGGACTCTGAAGAAGCTCTTGCATTCCACTTAGTTGCAGTTCGACAACTGGGCTCAGAGTGTGACGGAGTTTTCCACTGTAAGGGATTTGAGCCGTGCTCAAGTATCCAGAGATGTCAGATTGATTTGCTGCAGCAGCTTGGAGAATCCTTGAAGGATGAAAGTAGCCACTGCAGGGAAAACTTGCCACAGCTGTTGTGACTGCATGCACCTTTGCGGTCACTGGCAGGGTGGCCACATTAGTGTTGCAACCAATGACTACAGAAGTGCATGCAGTTGCAACAGCTGTGGCGTGTTTTTCTGTCTTCTGCGCTGGCAGAAGAGACAGCGGTTCTTGGTTTGCTTTCCCCCACTGTTAAAGTTAAGAATTAAACTCATGGGAGATCTGGAATTTCTCTCTCCTGTTGCACCTGGTGAGCTGAGGAAAGGAACGCCCTCACTTTTCCTGGAACAAACTAATCAAGATCCCTGCATGCAGAAAGCTCGCATGTCAGGAAGAGAAATTCTGTCTTGGCATTCTCCCTGACGTGCTAGTTTTCTGCATACAGGCCTTTTTTGGGGGGGGAACCCAACTTGAAGGATTTTTCAGTCCTGTTAGCCCCCCTGAAGATATACAGTTCAAAGAACACTCTACACTTTTTTCTGAGAACATCTGTATTTTAAAAAACGACGTGACCGGCTTTGTGTACCTACAAAGTGAAACGAAACAGCATGCACGTGTTTAAATTTGATTTTTGAAGGGCTGTGCTAGTTCCACGACGCCGACGGGCATAAACATGGCACAAACTCCCACATTTTAGAAATGTGATTTGTTTTGCCTTTATAAGGAATTGCTGCTGATTTCAAGGGTGTTTTTACTTTATTTTATTTTTTTAGACTTCCTGTTTGATACTTTTTGTGTGTGATCTTTTGATACGAGTAGCAGATTTCAGTTGCAACTGCATTTTAGAAGCTCCAGGCTTGAACCGTGTCTTAAAACTGGTGGGAAGGATCAAACGTGGATAGGTCAAGCTCCCTTGAAGCACCCAGGTCGAAAAAGTTCATTTCTGAGAAATGAAGCTTGGAGAATGAAAGAGAAGGGGAGCAGCGAAGAAGAAAAATAAAATAATTCTAAAAGCACCCTTAGGTTCGTTTCTAAAGAGCCAAAATGAGCCGGGGACAAGCGTGGAAGATGGTCCTCTCTTGGCTGCGCTGTTTTGAACCAATTGAGATGGTCAACGGCAATGAAATTTCGCGATGGCTCCTTTGGGGGCTGACCTGTTCAACATGCATGTTCCCCCCAGTTGTGGCAGAATTTGGAAAGGGGATGAAGCCGTGCTAGTTACAAACATAAGGCTTCGTTTTTATCTCGGACGTGCAGCAGGCGCATTTTGGATCCTCTGCTCCAACAACGTCCATGTGTTTCTACCTGCTTATCTTTAAATTGTGGGCCTCTCTGTTGAACACGCAAATCAATCCAGATTTGGGGGGGTGGGGAAGCCACAGGTCCATCCCTCACTTGCCCCCTCTGGCCAGGGAAACCAACCCAACCGCAACAAAAGCAAAGACGATGAAATTGTACTGTGCTGCCATTTGGAAAGAAATGCATAATACTGTAAACGTTGTACATAAACCGGGAGCATATGTGCCTTTTTATTTAATTTTTCTTTTGGTTCAGGGTGCAGTTTCTAAGAGGTGCTTCGTTAAAATTAAAGCAACTGTTTTGGACCTGGTTATCTCCTTGACTTCTCTTTGAAGCACTCTTCCTGTCTCCATTCACGGTTCCCTCTGAAAGCAGGGTTTCTCAACCTTGGCAGCTTTAAGATGAGTGGACTTCAACTCCCAGAATTCCCCAGAAGAGTCCAAGGTCTCTTCCCACCTATAATTCTATGGACTAGGTAGACCTTTGCTAACCATTGTTACCATCGCTTCTTGTGTCACTTACTTAATAAACCTTAAAATATTTTTAGAATGTCTCCCGAGAGGTAGCTGTGTTGGCCTGTTGTAGCAGAAACCCGTTTTTATGGGCCTGTGACAGCTTAAAACCCTTTTTATGATGGTCTAAGCAAGCTTCTGTGGATCACGGGCCACTTCCTCCTACGCCTGGATTATTATCTGGGTGAAGGTGTATCCTGGGCCTGGAGGAGGGGAGGGATGGAGGAGGAGGAAGAGTAAATGGTGAGGTCAAAGGGAGGCTGAGGAGCTGCAGATAATCGCTATAGATTAGCAGCCGTGCACAAAAGATTTCTGGCACCACAACAACTGTTTGCATCTGTGAGCAATTAACACATCCACTGAGCCCATAGACATGACAATTAAGTCTTTAGACGAATTCAGTGTTGCTGCTTTTTAATTCTACTTGCGTAAGCACAGAAACAAACCAGAACTCAAATACAAAGCCTTTACGAGGAGCCTTCCTTTTCTCCCATATTTATCCCCCCCCCCTTTAAATTTCTTTAGTAAGATTCTGCCAACTCACAATCTTTGTTAAACTCTGGGATTTTTTTAAGGGTTCCAAGAAAGCTGGTCTCTCTTCCCCTGCCTGATGTACTTTTTCCTTCTGCTTTCTCCTAAACTGCTGATTCCTTAGTTGTGATTTGCAGGAGTGACGAAAGTCACTCTTCGAATAACTTCTTTTAAATGGTGGTTTGGGTCTGTCTCTGGGTTTTAACGTTTCCTAAGAAGTTTCCACTTTTTTTCTTAATGGAGTTATTGTTTTGGATTCTTCAATCTGAATTATAGTAGAAAATACATCAATATAGAAATCAAATAATAGCAAACTTTCCATTCCAGAATGGAATCTGTCCTTTGAACAGTAATTTGATTTAGTGCAACGGTTACCAAATGATCGTGTTTATACTCCCCATTCAAAATACTTTATTGAAAGGTACACCATTTCAACCCCACCCCATTTACTCAGCAGGAATTAGGTGAACAACTACTGCGGTATCTTCGTTGGTGAGGCCACGGATTTATTTTTTGCAGAAGATCTCATGAACCTCACCCAACGCGTGGAGTTTCACAGCATCGCAGAGACAGGTGTAGCTTGGTTTTGTTTAATCCTATTGAATTAGAGTTGCCAACTAACCTGGAAAATAAAAGATAGACAGGTGTTTTAAATTAGAGAAGCTTTTTATACCCAGGTGTGGAACACCACCCAGAGTCACTTGATTGTGAGATGGGTGGCTATATAAATATGACCAGTCAGTCAGTCAAGTTCACTTCCTGCCTCCGAAATCAGGGCTGTGATTGAATTCAGGTATTGCACTGTTGATTTCACAACGGTTTAGTGAATAACCCACAATGAGCTGGCCATGCACAAGCGCGTTCACATGAAGCCACGCCAAAGCTTAACGCAACGTGTGAACTCAATCGAGGGGGTTCTCAGGAGGAGAGAGGGTTTACCCCCAGTAGTACGCCGGTCCCATGGCTATTCTGGGTGACACGGCTAGTAAACTAAGTTTAAACCGTTCGGAGAGTACCGCGTTGGCTTCCCCGGGACGCAGGTTCGACATTCAGCGGAGCGGACAGAGTTGGTGCGTAAATCTGGATGCCATATGCTTAGAAGTCTCTGCGTTTCACTTCAGGCATAGACTGGGACTCACTGTCATTCTGCTAAAGGCGTAGGTGTAGGGCTCGGAGCAGTGCTTCTCAACCGTGGCAACTTGAAGATGTGTGGACTTCAACTTCTAGAATTCCCCAGCCAGCCTTGCTGGCTGGGGAATTC